TCTTGCTGCCGCGTTCTGGATTAATTGTAAAGGTTTGATAGAACTGTCTGGAAGACCTGCCAAGAGAGCATTGCAATAGTCCAGCCTGGATAGAACAAGAGCTTGAACAAGGAGTTGTGTTGCATGTTCTGAAAGAAAGGGCCTGATCTTCCTAATGTTGTATAAAGCAAATCTGCCGGACCAGGCAGTTTTAACAATGTGGTCTGAGAAATTCAGCTGATCATCAATCATAACTCCAAGGTTTCTGGCTGTTTTTGAAGGAGTTATGGTTGATGAGCCTAACTGGATGGTGAAATTTTGATAAAGTGATGTGTTTGTTGAAACCACAAGCAGTTCTGTCTTAGCCTGGTTGAGTTGAAGGTGATGGTCCGTCTTCCAACAAGAAATGTCTGTTATACATGCTGAGATGCGAGCAGCTATCGTTGGATCATCAGGATGGAATGAGAGGTAGAGTTGAGTGTCATCAGCATAGCAGTGATATGAAAAGCCATGTTTCTGAATGACAGAACCTAGTGATGCCATGTAGACAGAGAAGAGAAGTGGTCCAAGAACTGAGTCCTGAGGCACCCCAGTAGTTAGATGTTGCGACTTGGATACCTCACCTCTCCAAGACACCTTGAAGGACCTATCTGAGAGGTAAGACTCAAACCACTGGAGTGCTATTCCTGAGATGCCCTTTGCCAATAGGGTTGACAGGAGGATCTGGTGGTTAACCGTGTCAAAAGCAGCAGACAGATCCAACAAGATAAGTACTGAAGATTTGGAATCTGCTCTTGACAGTCTTAGGGCTTCAACAACTGAGAGCAAGGCAGTCTCAGTTGAATGTCCACTTCTGAAACCAGACTGGTTGCTGTCAAGGAGGGTGTTCTGTGTGAGAAAGGCAGAGACTTGGTTGAACACAGCTCGTTCAAGTGTTTTTGCAATGAAAGGAAGAAGGGAAACCGGTCTGTAGTTCTCTAAAAGAGATGGGTTAAGGGTGGGTTTCTTAAGTAGTGGGGTTATACAAGAGCTGAGATGCGAGCAGCTATCGTCGGATCATCAGGATGGAATGAGAGGTAGAGTTGAGTGTCATCAGCATAGCCGTGATATGAAAAGCCATGTTTCTGAATGACAGAACCTAGTGATGCCATGTAGACAGAGAAGAGAAGTGGTCCAAGAACTGAGCCCTGAGGCACCCCAGTAGTTAGATGTTGTGACTTGGACACCTCACCTCTCCAAGATACCTTGAAGGACCTATCTGAGAGATAAGACTCAAACCACTGGAGTGTGGTTCCTGAGATGCCCTTTGCCAATAGGGTTGACAGGAGGATCTGGTGGTTAACCGTGTCAAAAGCAGCGGACAGATCCAGCAAGATTAGTATTGAAGATTTGGAATCCGCTCTTGCCAGTCTTAGGGCTTCAACAACTGAGAGCAAGGCAGTCTCGGTTGAATGTCCACTTCTGAAACCAGACTGGTTGCTGTCAAGGAGGTTGTTCTGTGTGAGAAAGGCAGAGACTTGGTTGAACACAGCTCGTTCAAGTGTTTTTGCAATGAAAGGAAGAAGGGAAACCGGTCTGTAGTTCTCTAAAAGAGATGGGTTAAGGGTGGGTTTCTTAAGTAGTGGGGTTATACGAGCCTGTCTAAATGCTGAGGGAAAAACACCAGTGTGAAGGGATGTGTTAATGATGTGAGTGAGTGCAGGTACAACTGCAGGAGAAATGGCTTGAAGGAGATGAGATGGAATAGGATCAAGTGGACAAGTAGTAGGATGATTAGAAAGAATGAGTTTGGAGACTTCTGCCTCAGAGAGTTAAAAGAAGGATGTGAACGAGTGTATGTTTGCTGGTAAGATGTGCTTGACAGATTGTGGTGTGGAAAATTGTACACTGATGGTTTTAATTTTATTAAAGAAGAACGTGACAAAGTCTTCAGCTGTTAGAGTTGATGAAGGAGGTGGAGGAGGAGGACAAAGGAGGGAGGAAAATGTTTTAAAGAGCATGCGAGAGTTAGACGAATTGTTAATTTTGTTATGATAGTAATGTCCTTGTGCTTACCAAACGTTTGTCATGATTGTTGAGCTTGTGGGTTGTTTTCCATGCCAAAAGGTGATAGTCTGTATGTTCTCATGTCTAGATCTGCTTCTCTGGCCTCAGCAGCACCACAGTGGAGGAGGTGTTTGTGGCTCAGCTCACCATGGACTTTCCCGAGGTCAAACGCTACAGAGCCACATTTAAAGACACAATTAAAGGTGCTAACGTCATTTTCATTTTTGAAATGTTTTACTTTTATTACATCACAGCTTATATCTCAGCACTTTTTCATCTGCTTTTACTAAATGTTTGCCATCAATTTTGCCTTAAAGGTTCAGTGCGTTACAAAACATACAACCCACAAGAATTTCATGGTGCAGTTGTGTCAGTTAATTATAGAAAGGTGAGTATTTTATTGACAATTATGAGGAGGGGGGTAAATATAAGAATTTCCAAATGTAGTGTAATGTTTTTAATATACACTACCATTGAAAGTTTGGGGGATAAATATAAGAATTAAAAAATTTTGTATTATGTTTTTAATATACACTACCATTTAAACGTTTGGTGAAGTTTATTCCTGTGATGCATCATTACTCGTCTTCAGTGTCACATGTGAATAAAAGTAATAAAATCTTTCAAAAGAAAATGTTTACTTTTGAATAAAAACACATTTAAATTAAATACTTGCTTAATGTGTAAAAAATAATATGCAGAATAATTGCATAAAGTTTCTACTGTATGCATAGTGTTCTTACAATACAGAATCTGTCATAAAAGTTTTGGTGTTTACATTTCTTTTAGGCCTCAATAAGTGATAGAGAAAAGGAAATGGGAATGTCTTTGGCGACAAGTGGCATGTTGATCAGCGTCTTGCCTTCATGCAGAGTCAGAAGTATATCACATACTTAAAATACTAAAACATTCTTTGTCATTGCTATAATGACAGCATTGCTATTAGTGTTAACATGACTATTTTAGTTTCATTAATATACTTTTGTTGTATTTATTATTTTAAATTATTTTTTATATTTTATTTTAATATTTTCTGTTTTTATTTTAATTTTAGTTAAAGTTTTTGTTTTTATTATTTTTTTAAGATGATTATTTATTTATTTTTTATTTTGTTTTATTTTGTTTCATTTTTAGTCATTTTAGTACTATTAGTAAAGGAAAATTAGAAATGTTCCCTCGGCAACGAAAACAGCAAAGAAATAAAGACACAGGTTTCCTCACTTGTAATGTGGCGCTTTGGTCTACAGGTCTACACAGTGTCAGCATAAGTTTCCAAGATATGAATCCCACAAGGCCCAGCACAGTAAGTGAACATGTTAAACTTATAACAGAGTGATTTTTTCTGTTCTAGATGTTACATTTAGTAATCTTGAATGAAATACTGAGGTAACGATCCTGTTTTCTCTCTAGCATTCATTCAGAGCTGTTAGTGCCAATATCAGAGTTCTAGAGACGCGTACATTCACAGTCTGTTTGGATAAAGACCCACGTAAAACATTTAAGAATGTCCAGAGGTGAGCATTCAGATTATAATGCCTTTCTATACATAAAATATCAACAGTTTTGACCTTTTTTTGCTTTTATTAATGGCCAACATGACCTTTTGTGTGGGTAACACATGTTCCAGAGGAATCATACATGTAATCTTTTGCCCACAGCATTGAAGTTTCTCCATGCTTGGACCCGGGATACTCCCATCAGCCGAGTTCAAAATCTAAGTACAGTTTGGGAGAGGGAGGTGAACCGCTGGGCAAATATGTCAACAAGACCCTCACGCTACCAATCAACACCTTCTGTGGCACTGAGCAATGACTATACGACTCGAATTCATGATATAAGAGCTTGAGTCATGAGACAAACTGAAACCTGATACCTCTCAGAGGCTTTTAGTGTTTTTTGTGTGTGCATTTCCTCTTTTTCTCTCTTTTCTGTTGCCTAAAATACAGTGGTGTGAAAAAGTGTTGGCCCCCTTCCTGATTTCTTTTTTTGCATGTTTGTCACACTTAATTGTTTCAGATCATCAAACAAATTTAAATATTAGTAAAAGATAACAGAAAAACAAAATGAAGACTTTGGAGTGGCCTAGTCAAAGTCCTGACCTGAATCCTATTGAGATGCTGTGGCATGACCTTAAAAAGGCGGTTCATGCTCGAAAACTCTCCAATGTGGCTGAATTACAACAATTCTGCATAGATGAGTGGACCAAAATTCCTCCACAGCGCTGTTACAGACTCATTGCAAGTTATCGCAAATGCTTGATTGCAGTTGTTGCTGCTAAGGGTGGCCCAACCATTTATTAGGTTTAGGGGGCAAACACTTTTTTCACACAGGGCCATGTAGTTTTGGATTTTGTTTTCCCTTAATAATAAAAACCTTCATTTAAAAACTGCATGTTGTGTTTACTTGTGTTATCTTTGACTAATATTTAAATTTGTTTGATGATCTGAAACATTAAAGTGTGACAAACATGCAAAAAAATAAGAAATCAGGAAGGGGGCCAACACTTTTTCACACCACTGTACATGTAACCTCAAGAGGCCATGACTTCCTGCTGAACTGTGAACAGATATGGTGTTCATAGACTATTTGAATGTGTTGAAATGGTGTCTGTGAATTGACCTCGATCTTTGTAAAGCATCCTGCAGTCTGCACATTTTAAAATGTCATGGTTACACTACTTTTTTTACTTTCATGACAATAATGTGTCTGTATGATACTTGGACATGTAATTTAACACTTTTGAAGCACTTAGACTTTCATTTGACACTTGCCATAAACTAACACAATAGAAAATAAAATGCATTGAAGATGATAGCTGCATCCGAAATCACATACTCTCTGAGTAGGTACTTCTTTTGAATAAGTAATTACTTTACGATTGTTAAAAAGTATGTTCAATATAGTATGGAAGTGTGTACTACATTTAGACGTACTACAATCGCCATGTTGTCACTGTCATGTGACCTATGCCATCAGTTGTGTCCCGTAGCTTCATGGGATGTCAAAGTGTCCATCCTATGTTTACTTAAGAATCATCATCTGGGTACTTTTCACCTACTGTTTTATGAATACTTTGAATTCGGACATACTACTCTTTTCACACACTGTTTTTTGGCTACTAGGGAAGTATGCAATTTTGTATGCAGCCTTTGTAAGCATTTAGATTAGAATAGCATGGTACCCTAGTTTTGTCTGCAGTATGCAGTGTATATATATATATATACTGTGTGCAATATGCAAGTATGGAAACCTGTTACATTTGCCAAAATGTGCTGTAGGCTACAACAGAGCACATTATGTGGGATGTTGAATTTCACAATGCAATGCGCCCGCCTTTTATTTACTTGAGCTAACAAACATTTTCTTCTTGACTCATTTTTTGATCAGACTGCCAATAACTGTAAAGTAATATATTGTATAACTCGTTGAATTAAAGGTGCAGCGTAAAGGCTCATGTGACTACTAATTTTATACTGTAAGTTCATCTTCTCACCAACAGGTGGCGTAGTAAACTAGAGTTTGCTCGATACGCTGAGGTCGGCCATTGGTTGTTTGTCAAAGAGAAAGAAAACGTGTTACATCTTACCTGGATACGGTGTGGACATGAAGAGCCAAAGAAAACTTTAATCGACAATATTCTGTCAAGCAAACCATGAGTTTACGGATAGGCTACGTTAGATCTCAGGTAAATAGCAAACGCACAGCAATCTCGTGACGTGTCACAACAGGTGCACGATGATGTTACCTGTACGGAGACTTTGTCGTGTAGACTACTTGCAGACGTTAAAAAGTCTGTCTTTTTTCTTTTTTCTTTAAGCCAGCTCATACGATTTGCAAGATTACAAGAGGCTTTTATGGAAAACATCTGCTTAAACTCTAAGAAGTCTTTCTGGTTTCATTTTGTGAAATTGTGATACACTGACTGCACGCTCTTCCGTGTTTTTTAACATACACTTTTAATTTACGTTCCTCTCATACGATGTTTCGTTTTCTAGAAGTGTCCTATTTTAGGACATCATGGTGAGGGGATGTGTTGTGTACATATGATTTAAATGCAGTTTACTTGATAGTTTTGCTCCATATGGAGCCAGTTAACCCATGTTGCTTGTTATGTTATAAAGTACAATGATAATGTCATGGGAATGAAATACCTCGAAGTACAATTTAAATACAATAGTGCATTGTTTTCTTTGGTGTAAAATAAGTGTTACCCATTAGAAATAATGTAAAATGAAATATAATTTATATCAAAGAGTACTATGGTATTACTATAGTACTGCTATAATAGCATTTAAATACATACAGTAACAAAGGAACAAAATTCTAAAAATTCCACAAAAAGTACCCTGGTACTACCATAATAATGGCATGTTTTTTTTTTGTTTTTGTTTTTTTTTGACGAACTGATACAACCCCCGATATTTGTGATATCACAAATCCCGGAAAATATGCGTTGTAGTCCAAACGAGTCGTTCGTTGTAGTTTTTGAAAAGTGATTTCTGTTAAATAAAATATCTCCTTTTGAAGTGGACTTTGAGCTTTGTAACTTTGCAGATCTTTTTTATGCTCAAACAGCAACATTACACTAAACTAACTAAACACTAACTAAAGTTCAACACTAACTAAAGTTGAAAAAGTGAAAAAGCATAATAGCACCCCTTTAATTGACCTGTAAAGTTGCATATATTTTTTCACTTAATTTAATTTTCTTTTTAATCCACACAGAGTGCTAACTGAAGTCGACAAACATGATGATGAAGGGAGCAATGCAGAAGAGCAAGCAGTGGAATGTGAAGGGAGCCTTGCGGCTGGCGGGCGTCTTTCACTTCCTCCATTCCTGTGGCTCCGGTTGCCTCCTTCCCTTCCTGACCCTCTACTTCCGACACCTGGGTCTCAGCGCCACCATGATTGGTATCATCATGGCGTCCAAGCACCTGCTCGCCCTGGTGTGGCGCCCGTTCTCCAGCATCCTCGCCAGACAGTACGACAAGCGGCGGGCGGTCATAGTGGGCTCTCTGCTCAGCTCGGCATTGGTGGTTTTGACTCTTCTGCTCTTCCCGTCCGCAGGAATCCAAGCTGAAAGTGGACGGTGTAACGCTAGTCAACCTGATGCTGATCCCACTGCCATTCTAGAGAGGACGATGGTCCCATCGCAATCAAACGCTACTGTTTACTCAATAAACCAAACATCTGTAAGTACCGAACACCCTGTTGAAGTTACCACACTTGTAAGCTCCAACTGGTCAGCAAGAGGCCTGAGATCTTTGAAGAAGCCTGAACAGGAAGAAGATCCTCACAGTGAGTTCCTTGGGAGCCTAAAAGTTATGGATGCCCAGCATCAGATGTTCTTTCTGGTTCTCATTGTGATGGGTTTGTGGGAGTTAATGGCCGCCCCGTTGGAGTGGACGGCGGATGATGGACTCTACGAATACTTGGATTTCGTAGACGCCACCGATCGCTATAACGGTGTGACGGTCTGGAAGCCACTTGGAGCCGCTTTTGGCAACTGTATGGTTGGAGTTCTTGTAACCAGCCTGTTTTGTCTTACAGGAACTACATTGGAGTTTTACTCCTACACTGTATTTATGATCCTAACCATCCCTACAGCTGCACTGCTACCTATCTACCTCCGCAAGCGTGAGCGGCCCACTAGTGGAGGCTTTAAGGCACTACAATTAGTGCATGGGAACTCGCAGGCGATACTTTGTGCCACCACTGTCGTTTTGATGGGCATGGTGAGCTCAGCTGTGTCGGATTTCCTCTTATGGCACATGCAGGACTGCGGTGCAACCGAAATCCACATGGGCATCTCTTTAGCCTTGGCGCACTTAAGCCAAACTGGCTTTGCTCCAATTGCTAGCCATCTCTCCCGGTTTCTAAAGTACCACGGTTGGTTGCTAGTACTCGCCGTTGTTAGTTTAGCCCTGCAGTGTCTGTATTATTCCTTCCTGTGGGGCCCGTGGGCTGTAATACCCGCTCAACTACTGGCGGGCTTCAGCACCGGCGCCCTCTGGTGGTCTGTAACATCGCAAAGCGAAGACATCGCCACTCCCGGCACCGAAAAGACCATTTTAAGGCTGTTTGAGGTGCTTTCTCTGGAGTTGGGAGCGGCGTTTGGCAGTCTAGCGGCTGGGTTTGTGGTGCAAAAGTTTGGGGTCCAGGTGCTTTTCCAAGGCACGGCGGTCACTCTGGCTTTGTGGAGCAGCACTCTTGCCGTACTCAAGTGGAAGATTCCTCGGCAGCGCCGGATAAACTACTCACGCCTGCTGGCCACCGACACAGAGATGAGCGAGTCTGAGTCAGACCAGGAGAAAGACTGGCTTGAGACGGCTATGGAAGACGCCAGAGGGAATAACAAGTGGACAGTGGATATATCTTAATCAATGGAAGCAAAGAGTGACTTCTTAACAGAGGGCAAATAAGAGGGAAATAACACTGAAACTGTTCAGTACACTGAAAGGAATTATTTTCTTACTCTGTATTTTTGTCTTGTTTTCCATTACAAAAAAAAGATGCATTTACTATGCAAGTAATGACATAACCAATGACATAAGTTTTGTTTTCTAATATAATGTATCAAAATGTAGCAAGTTTATGATTAAAAAAGAAATATATTTGTCAGTGGAGTAAGAAAAATAACTTTGAAGTCAAAGGGAAAGATTATTTTTTTCTTAACCTATTGATACCCTATTTTTAAATTATTATTATTATTATTTATTTATTTTTTTTCAGAAAACAACTCAATATCTTGTCATTATACTTCTCAAGATATTAAGTCTTGTTTTCTGGGGGGAAAAAAGTATGTTTATACTTAAAGCAAGAAATAATATGTCAGAGGGGTAAGAAAAATAAACATAATTTAAAAGGAATTATTTTTCTTACCCCATTGACGCCACATTTATGACTTAATATCTGATGTCATTTTCATTCTCAAGTAAA